TTTCTGGCTCTACGTATTTCTTGCTCTGTCTATAATAACCTAGCAACATCATTCAAGAAGCTCTTAGGGTCTGAGGACAAAGCTAATGAAATGAACAAAAGCAAAACCAGTGGAGAGAAGAGGCCGAGCTAAACATTAGTCATCTTTGGCTATTGGCTTCTCTCATTAGCCCCACCTTGAGCTTTAGCAAATTCATTTCCTGAGAGTCAATAAACTGAATTTAAGCATCTCTACTAAAATTTTCTCTAAACAGTGAGACTCACCAATTTAAAGAACACAGTTATTCCTAAATAGCTCGATGACAGTTATTTATTTGCATCTATTAGAGAAATGCAGGACATTTAGAAGGTGTGCTAGATTATAGTTAAGTACTACTCAAATAAAGGAACACTAGCTTAGGTTTTGATCTATTGTATATAGGATTACTATGTGACAGAGTGCATCTAACAACAATAATAGCTTAAATTAATAATGGAAATAGCTCTTAACGTGCCGAAGGTATTGGTAGTCTCTTAGAGACCTATGTATACTCTTATATGAAACATCTGTCCTAAATGCGGTATGCCTTTTCTTAAAAGCCTAGTCCTTAAAGATTAGGGGGAAATAAATGATCATTGCTACTAGCTAATAATTGTTAACTTTATAGATTCAACAGCTACTTTTAGAACAGCAGTAAATTGTTTTAGCTCAATGTGCCACTGATCATATGTAACACCCAAGGAGTTTTATTGCTTTTCATATCTATCTCACATTGTTGTTGCTAAGAGCTCTGGTGGCCTAGTGGCAAGGAGCTGTGTTGCCAACCTGAAAGCATGTGATTTGAATCCACCACCTACTTTGCAGAAGATGAGGAATTTCTTCCAGTGTGATTTACTTTCTCGAAAAAACCATCTATTGTACATAGGGTTTTCAAAAGCCTGTTATTTCAGAAGTAGAGGGCCAATCCTTCTTATTCTGTCTTAATTTGAGTGCTCAGCTGTAGAACTGTATCTGACAGAAAAGCACAGGACAAGTAGACCCTAGAGGAGATGGATTGCCATGATAACTGGGGGAATGATATTAGGTGTATTGGAGTCAGTGAGACTGGTTCAGGATAGGGCAGGGTTTAGAGCTATTGTACATAAGGTTGCTATGAGTCTCAGGTGATTTGATGGCATATGGCAATAATAACAATAACAACAACAAAACAACCCATCTTGGCAAATTTATCTTCACAAATTATATTTTGTTCTGGCTATTGTTTTCTGAGAGTGAATGGTTAAAGTTCACAAGTTACAGCTCTAAATTATAGTCTATATTTCTTAAAACAAAATAATAAAAATTTCCATTGCTCTTGAGTCTGAACTGATACTTAAGGAATTTTAGTGTTTTTCATATCTATATCTATCGTCTGACATACTTTGGACATGTTGTAAGGACAGACAGGTCCTTGGAGAGGGACATCATGCTTGGCAGGGTAGAGGGACAGCTCAGGAGGGGAAGACCCTCTATGAGGTGGATTGATTCAGTGACTTGGGTAATCAGAATGGGTGTATCAGAGGCAATGAGATTGGCACAGAATAGAGCGGGGTTTAGGGCTGTTGTACATAGGGTCGCTATGAGTCGCAAACGACTCGACGGCACATAACAACAAAACAACAATCTCTGATAAGATAAAATTTATTAAATTTCTATCTTTACAAAAATGCCTATATGCACACTACTGCTAAATAAAGGGCAATTGTAGTTTCTTTAAAAGATATAATATGGGGGGGAAAACCCACCAAAACACCTACACCTGTTTTTCAAATATATTGTGAACCCAAGGAGCAGTATCTTGAATGTAATTTCATTCAAAAATGACAAAATAGGGATAGCTTCTATCCTTGTCTTTCTCATAAAGAGAAAAGGTAACTTTATGCTAAGGAATGGACTTAATATAAGGCACCTATGTCTTTGTGTGTTTCAAATCAGCCCAAGCATACTTATTTAGGCAAATTGACATTAATTTTATTCTTTTATTTTATAGATTGGGTCTCTTCAAAATCACTACTTATTCAGACATAAAAACCATCCTCGAAGGTCTCGGAGGAGTGCCCTTCATATCACTAAGAGACTGTCTGATGATGATAGAGTAAGTGCTGTGCATGTGGTTTTTAGCCCAATTGACTTGCCTTATGGTTTTCAACAGGAGGAAAAACAATTTGTAAATGTGGGTTTTAAATAACTTTTTGTTCATAGCATCCCTTTCCATAGGATTATAATTGATCATAATTTTCATAGGATCATAATTGTCACAGAACAGTAACAAGATCAGATTGCATTAATTAAGTAAACTGAAGTGTGTGTGTGTGTGTGTGTGTGTGTGTGTGTGTAGAGAGAGAAAGAGAAAAACAGCAGAGAGAGGTAGATGATCCTCAATTTGTGACATCTGTCTCCTATGGAGAATCTGTTGGATTTGAACTGTGTACCTGTGAGTGGTAGTGCGGCTCCTTACTACTACACCATGAGAGCTCTCTGGATTTCTAAAGGTACTTATAATAAAAAGCAATCATAATAAAAACAAAAAGAGATAGCTTACATCACAACTTACTTATGACTAAATTGTAGTACCAGAACCCCATCATAAATCAGAGACTTCTAGTATATCTATATCTAAGTCTATATACTGGCTCTAAATCCATGACAAGAGCATGAAGAGGTATATTGATAATAGGCTGGCAGCATTAATAAAACTGTAGTTAGTCAATAATCTTATTATCTACCTATTATATGTTGTTGATAGTGATTACCTTCAAGTTGGGCACAACTCAGAGTGACCCTATAAACAAAAGGCTTGAAACCCCTCTACAACTATAGACATTTATCAAAGTTCATGGAGTTTCTGGAGGCATGTTGTTTAGGAAGTGGATGACACTCCTGCTAATAGCCAATGTAGGGATGTCATAGAAAAACATGAACATTGCTTTCAATAACTTTTCAGTGTAACTGACAAAAAGCCCCAATACCTCAAAATAAAAAATAATAACAGCAACAACAACCAAAAATTCCCCTCAACAAAACAAACCCAATACAGTGAAACCATTCTACTACTTTTACTTGGTTTGTTTATAGAAGGTACTAATATTTGTCTTAAAGGTCTAAGTCTCCGCATGCATGAAGTAAATGTTTCTATAATTACTGTACTCTTTAATGCAAAACACTTGATTCTTTCCTAACCTGACCTGTGTGTAGAAAGATTAATGAAGCAAAACCAGGAAATACTTAAAATGAGGAAGTAGATAAGTAAAGATAGGATATTTTGAATGCACATTTAATATACTTGCTGATTTTTGAGATCTATTTTACATATCAATAGAAAATACTGATTATATTGGGAGAATTACTGTTTGTATATAATATTGTCCTTCCTCAAGAACGTGGAAGATATTATATTAGTGAAAATGCTCCTACCTGGCCTCCTGTCTATATATATGTACTTTTCCCCCCAGTAACACAGAGAGAAGCATAGTAGCTAAGTTGGAAGGAGAATTTCCTATGGAAGAAAATAGCTTAAGTGACAGTAATAGAACTGTTAACAGTACTTGAAAGTCATGATGACTGTGAAATATGTTCTGGGTATTTTGTTCTTGTTGTTATACAGAACTAATGGAAAAAATATATTTTTAAAAAAGGGCAAATTGTGAAGGAAAGATTGGTTTGGTCACTAGAATAAGAGAAATAACCATGTGTAGGCAAACAATGTTATACCAGTACCATGGACAGCAGCACAGAGGACTTAGCCAAATAGTGATTAAAAGCAGAAGGTGTTGTACAAGTGGAATGGATCATAAAATTTACATGAATCAGTGAGACCTAGCCTCTTCCATCCAGTGGTGGATGGCTTACTGTATGAAGTTTCTGTTAAGCAGGAATTCCAACATTGTGACTAAATCTAGTAATTGGATGAGAGATTTTCTTGTAAAAAGAGAAAATAAAGGGAGAGATTTTCTTCTCTGTTTCACTGCATGCACAAGGACATGAGACTGACCTCTCTTCTCACCTCCATAAAACTGGACAGAATAAAGGAGCATGCTTGTTATTCTTATTAAAATTATTTCACTAAAATAAGCAGAGGTTCTAATTTTTTCTTTTATATGTCCTTGATAGTTAATTGATTTTGAAGGGAATTACAAAGCATAATGAAATGAAAAAGAGCCAAGATTTTCTTTTCTAATATAGCTTCCTACCAAAGGATTATATAATGCTAAGAGAAATTAACCAGAGAATTATTTTACTTTAGGAAATACCTTAGAATCCAGAGAACTTTTCAATAGAAGGCTGCACTACATAATCTTCAATATTCTTTTTTTCCTAAGAGGTTATTTACAATTAAGCACATGATACCTGTTATATACATAATAGAAATACAGCACCAATTTTCTCTGTTCTATTTGGTCTACTCTTCTGGAGATTAATATGGGCTTCTGAGTTAATGACATTAATCATAACACTGTTTCCTACAATTGTTGTTTATCTGATCAGGTGGCAGAGTGCCTCTTCTAATATTGCATTTCTTAAAAATTGCCCTTGGTTTCCTTTTTGTTGCTGTTTTATTGTGATGCATATAATTCTTTTAAATTAGCCCTCTAAAATTAAGTGATAGGCTATCTTTACATGTATGTTATTGAAATCTCCAAGTGTAAGTGACCCTTACCCCTGAAAATTAGTAATTGTTCCCTTGAAGCTGGCTTTCACAATACCAATTCAGACTGCAGGCTATGTATTCCAAGCATTGGAGTATTTTTAAGCCCAAACAATTAAGCCTGAAAATAAAGCTATTTTAAAAATAAATTATAGTGACTAATTTCTAGCTCCCAAGTCCCTCCCAATGTTTTTAATAGACTTGCAGTACATTTTCTAATTGAAAATCCAGGACAGTCTTAATGGATGATTTTAGTCTTCAATTGCAAGTGATTTTTCAATTTTTATTTTTGAATCTGACTCAGGAGTAATTTCACATTAACAATATTTCACTGTACACTATACTACCATCCTGGGTACAACAGAAGGTATGGTTTGGGTAGGAAGTGGTCGTGTTGCCCAGCAAAATAAAAGTATGCCATTACCTCATAGTGATTGTAACCACAAGGCAGTCTTTTACCCTCTCAGGGCCTCATGTATAATAGGATTATACCATAAATATGAGGAAGGTAATATTCGTATTGTCAGATCTTCCTGCATAATACATGAGGCTGAATTAATGCTAAGTGCGCATGGTCAGTAGTGCTCATTCATCACCCTGAATCTGTTTCTCATATTAAATACTCTTAAGCACGAGGCTTTGACGCACAGAGGAGTCCGTTTTGTATCTGCACCAGTATACTACCTTTCTGTGTAGCATTTGCAATTTCTGCTATTTCTGTGTAAAGAAAGAAAAATTAAGCTGTAAGAGCACCAAACAGCCATCTCTGGGATCCCTCAGCTTGTTGACTCATTCCATGAAAATTGACAAATTTTCAGCTATCAAGCCCTGGAACTTCAGTGTATAAAATGGGTATTATGGTCCATTTGCTGATGAAAGCAGGCTGGACTTTTACTTCCACTGTAACCACAGTGTAAATAATTTGAGGGAGTCATCACTCCCCTGACTGCTTCTCCTCCCCCTCTAGGTGCACTTTACGGTAATAGAGGAAATGTTCATCTCCCCAGTGGGCAATCCCTTTTTCTCACTATACTGCCAATTTAATCTTTAGTTAAAGGAAAACACTATGTAGCTGCTTGAGCTCTGATGGGGAGGGTACCTGAGATAGTTAAAGGAAAGGGTAGTTACACAGAAGTGACTATTTGAATGTTGGGTGTTTGGTTTGTTTTTTGTTTGTTTGTTTGTTTGTGTTATTTTTACTTTGCTGTAAAATCCTTGTAGGTATTATGGGCTGAGCAACAATATGAAAAAGAAAGAAGTAAGCGTACAGTTCTAAGAGATTCTGCATTCAATCTCTTCAATGATCCAATGTGGAACCAACAGTGGTACTTGGTAAGTACCTAAAGAACTAGGGTACTTTATATTGTTGCATTTTCATGATGGATTTTAAACTGAAAAGTCAGCAGAGGCTATATTTTGGGGGCTGATGGGACCTCTCATGATAATGATGCTGTTGTTATGTGCTGCGGAACTGACTATCACTCAGCAATCCTATGAACAATGGCTCTGAACTCTACCCCATCCTGTACCATCCTCACCAACTCTGACACACTTGAGCGCATGGTGACAGTCACTGTGTCAATCACTCTTAGTGAAGGTCTTCCTCTCTTACACTGACCCTCCAACCTTTCAAGCATGTCCTTATCCAAGGATTGGCCTCTCCTTGCAACATCTGTAACAGGAGTCTTCTGTTTCTTCTGATAGATGGTGTCTGAACTACAGATCTTTAGCTTTTATGATAGGAGGGTAATTGCATTTATCTTCATAAGCTTATCTGGGAATAAGTGGAAACGAGTGGTATCTTATGGCTGGCTGTTGTTACTGAGTGTCACCAAGTCAACTCTAACAGTAGCCCTCATACAGTACAGCTGAATAAAACACTGTCACACCCTGTGCCACTCCTATACTTCTAGCCATGCTGGAGCCCATTATTGCAGCTACTGTGTCAGTCCAGGTCATTGAAGGCCTTCCTCCTTTGGCTGATTCTCTGCTTTAATACGCAGACTGTCCTTCAGAGTCTGCCTCCTCCTGATACCATATCCAAATAATACTAGACACAATCTTGCCATTCTCACTTCTAAGATATTTTCTGGCTCTACTTCTTCCAGGATAGATTTGTGCATTCTTTTGGCAGCCAATGGTGTATTTCTTGTTCGTCGTCAACACCATAATGCAAAGATATAATTTCTTTAATCTTATTCATTGTCTGTTTTTCCCCATGCATCTGAGGTGACTCCATGGCTTAGTCCAAACACACCTTAATCCTCAAAGCAATAGTCTTACTTTTTAATATTTTTGAAGAGGTCTTATGTAGCAAATTTTCTCTATATAAAACATAATTTTATTTACTTGATTTCTTCAAGTAAAGGAAAATACTTGGTAATTTCATATTTTTTTCTGTTACCATGATGTTGCTTACTGATCCAGTAGTGTGGATTTTTATTTTCTTTATTTTGAAGTGCAGTTTACACTGAAGGCTAGTCTTTGACCTTTATCAGGAAATATTTCAGGTGTTTTTGGCTTTCGACAAGCAAAATTGTGTCATCTGTATGTCACAGCTTGTTAATGAATCTTCTTCATCCAATCTTGATGCCCTATTTTTCATTGAGTCAAATAAGTAAAAGAACTGCGTGCAAAATAGTAAAGAATAGCTTGAGACAGCAATGTATATTATATTGTAATTTGCAAAGACCTAGAGTTAGACAAGTATGAACATAATCCAAATTTCTGAAGTTGAAAGAGCTGAAGAAATTATCTGTCAAAAGGTTCTATGGACAAATCACAGGAAGCATAAAAAGAAGATGGAAAAATATACAGAATCACTGTACCAAAAGCATTGATCAACGTTCAACCATTTCAGGAGGTAGCATAAGATCAATAACCAATGATATTAATGGAAAAGTCAAAGCTGAACTTAAGGCATTATTGAAAAATAAGACTTTAGGAGCTGATGGAATACTAACTAGAATACTTCAACAAATGCTCAATCACCTATTCCAAGAAATTTTGAAGACAACTATCTGGTCAACTGACTGAAAATTTGTGTCTATTTCAAAAGTATATTCAACAGAATATGGCACTTATTAAACAATAGAATTAATACCACACACAAGTAAAATTTTACTGAGAAAGAATTGAAAACTACTGCAATAGTATATCAAAAGAGAACTGCCAGAAATTCAAGCCAGATACAGAAGAGGATGTGGAACAAAGGATATCCTTGCTGACATCAGACGGATCTTGACTGAAAGCAGATGATATAACAAACATACTTACCTGTGTTTCTTTTTTATTATTATTAGTATGTGGAGGTATTTGACTTTGTTTTGTTGGTGTTTTAGGTGTCATTGAGTTAAGTATAACCCATGGTAACCATATGAACAACAAATCTAAGCAGTGCACTGTCCTGTTCTGTCCTAACAACTTCTGACACGTTCAAGCCCACTGACGCAGTCACTATGTCAATCCTTCTCTTTCATTGACCTTTCTCCTCCCTTTCCAAGCCTCATGTCTCAGTCCAAGGAATAACTTCTCTTAGCAACATTCCCAAAATATGTGAGACAAAGCTTTACAATTTTTGCCCCCAACGAGCACTCTGTCTGCAGTTTCTCCAAGGCATATTTCTTTTAATAATCCAAGAGATATTCATTACCCTTCTCAAACACCACTGCTCAAGGCATCAGTTCTTCTTCTGCCATCTTTATTCATTGTCCAGCTCTCAGATGCTTAGCAAGTGACTGAAAAGACCGTGGCCTGATAAGGAGCAGCTTACTTCTCCAACTGACATTATTGCTTCTGAATAATTTGGAGCAGTCTCTGTCTACAGACTTTGCCAGTGCAATAAGTTTCCTGATCTCCTGACCACTGGTTCCAAAGGTGTTCATTGCAGATCAAAGTAAGATGAAGTCGTTGTTGACAGTTTTAGTCTTTTCTCCATCCATTATAATGGCATCTATCAGTCCAGTGGTGTGAATTTTTGTTTTCTTGACCTATACTGACAGCTGTATTCCTTGATCTTCTGCAGCAAATGCTTCAAGTCATCTGCATAATGCAAGTTATTATTGAGTCTTCCTCCAATCTTAATGCAACATTCTTCTTCAAGAGTCCAGCTTCTGGGGAGCTCTGGTGGCCTAGTGGCAAGAAGGTGCACTGCAATCCCAGAGGCGCACGGTTCGAATCCACCAGATGCTTTGCCGAGGAAGGAGGGGCAATCTCCTCCTGTACCAGTCAGATCTGATTTGACAGTACACACACACACACACACACTCAAATAAGCAACAGTGTCTCTCTGGAGACTAAGGTCCGCCTGATACAGGCTATGGTCTTTGCAATCGCTTGTTATGCATCAGAGAGTTGGATGGACAATGACTAGGGAGGACAGAAGGAGAGTTGATGCCTTTGAGCTGTGGTGCTGGAGAAGAGTATTGAATGTACCATGGACTGCCAGGAAAACAAACAGATTCATCTTGGAGAGGATTAAACCAAGCTACTTCTTGGAGGCAAGGATTCTGGGGCTTTGTCTGACATACTTTGGACATGTTGCCAGGAGGGACAGGTCCTTGGAGAGGGACATCATGCTTGGGAGGGTGGAGGGACAGATTCGGTGACTGGGGCAATCGGGATGGGTGTGTCAGAGGCAGTGCAGTTGGCGCAGGATAGAGCAGTGTTTAGGGCTGTTGTGCATAGGGTCGCTATGAGTCGGAAACGACTCGATGGCACATAACAACAACAACAACAACAAAAAGAGTCCAGCTTCTCAGCATACAATTTGAATAGGTATGGAGAGAAGATATAACCTTGATACACACCTTCCTTAATTTTAAGTCATATGCTTTCCCTTGCTCTCTCTGCACGCCAGACTCATGGTCTAGGTGTAGATTTTGCATGAGCACAATTAAGTGGATTCTCCTTCCTCTCCAATGTTAATTATAATTTGTTACGGTTACAGTCAAATACCTTTGTATTTCACTGAATTCTTTATGTCCTCATTGGACTGTGAGGACATAAAAAAAGTTGTGAAAAACATTTCAAAGAATTAGAATTCTTACCTTGATTATGTATAACCTGTACATAGACCAGGAGGCAGTTATTTGAACAGAACTAGGGGATGGTGTGGTTTAAAATCAGGAAAAGTACATGTCAGGGTTGTATCCTGTCACCATACTTAGTCAATCTGCATGGTGAGCATATAAGCCAAGAAACTGAAGTGTATGCTTTTCATTAGAAGTTTCAAAACAGTACAAGACTCCTGTCAAAATCATATTTGGTCATTGCTCATGAAAGTGCTTTAAAGCATCCACAGACTATTTGCATGGTTCCATATATCTATCCAGCTCTGAGTGAATTCTTACATGCTACAGGTGAAAATCTCTGAACCAAAGGAGGGGAAAATAGGAAAACAGGGGAAGTACATTTAGAAATATGTAGTCTCACAGACCATTTTACCTTTAACATGGGTACCAAATCCTTATTGATGTGACAGTGTTGGGTAGATTTTGTTTCTCCTGGCCTCCTAGTTATTGTTTTGTTTCACTGAAACTGCTATAGCAATAATATTTATTAATAAAAATGATTATTGTTGAGAATATGAAAAAACATCATTTTCCATGACAGTTTTTAAAAAATGGTAATACGGTTAGCTTAATGTGATGATTAGGATTTGAGGAGAGATAGAAACATAAGACATCAAATAAAACTTCAGTGAATGTAAGACGAGTATTGCTATTAAAAATGAAATTCAGCGACAAAGGTCTTTGAAGCAATACATTAAAAAATAAGGGAAATAGGATAATTCAAGTGCTTTTTCTATTGGAACAGTTGAGAAAAGTGCAGTGATGATTCACATGGCGTTACCTTCAATTTTGTTTCTTCATTTCACCTAATTAAGTTTTTCTAAAGTGATCCTGACAAAAAGAAATGAGTCTCTAGGTTACATCATACATTCTCATTTGGTTACAAGCAAATAATGATTTCACTAATGCTTCTTTGCTTTCCTTTACCAGCAAGATACAAGGATGACTGCAGCACTCCCCAAGCTGGACCTCCACGTGATACCTGTGTGGCAGAAAGGCATCACTGGCAAAGGAGTTGTTATCACTGTGCTCGATGATGGCTTGGAGTGGAATCACACGGACATCTATGCCAATTATGTGAGTCTGGGTCTTCCCCTGACTGTCACTTAGGGATCCCTCTACACAGACATATATTTGGGACTTTCTTTCCTTTAAATAGAAGGCTGTTAGACCCCCACCACACTGATAAAAAGACAGTGCTTCATCTCTTCCCCCACCTTCTGCCAGTTCATATAACTTTTTCTACGGGCATTTAAAAAGTTCACTGAAGCTAGAGATTGTACCAATATATATATTTGGGAAGTAGGGAGCATAAAAACTCTCTTTGAACCACTAAGTCTTGCAAACACTAAGGGATTATAATAAAACACAATGCCTGAGACAATTTTTTAAAGTGTTGCTTCTCACAAACCCTATGTATCAGTTTTCTAACATTGTAAAATTATATAAACATGCTTTCCTTCATGTAAACTCTAGATGTACACTTATTGTTATTAGGTGTCATCGATTTGAGTATGACTCATAGTGACTCTACGAATAAGAGATCTGAAGCCTGTTCTATCCTGCGCCATCCTTATACTTCTTGACATAAGAGCCCATTGCAGCAGTTACCGTGTTAATCCACCTGGTTGAGGGACTTCCTCTCCCTCGCTGACCCTCCACCCTTTGCAGGATCATGTCCTTCTCCTTGTAATAAATAGCACTTCTTAGCAACATGTCCACAGTATATGAGGTGAAGCCTCATCATTCTTGCCTCCAAAGAGCACTCTGGCTGCACCTTCTCCAAGACACATCTGTTCGTTCTCTTGGCCGTCCATGGGATACTCAGTGCTCTTCTCCAACACCAGAGCTCAAAGGCATTATGCAAAACTGAAAAAGGAAAAGTTTACTAGAAATGAGACAATAAATAAATAAGAACAATTTGTGGAGTTATTTGTGCAGTTCTCCATAACTTATCTTACCTCTTTAGATCAAGAGTGTGAACATTCCTTTCTTTAAGATTATCCTTTGTCTCTTACACTCTTTCTGCCCATCTAGCATTCACTGATGAGAATGAAGAGAAGGGGCAAAAGAGAGGGAAGAAAAAGATGAAAATGATTAGAACAGAATAGAAACCACCATTTACTAAAAGATGTGAGAATTTTTGAGAAATAGTAACTGTGACAGAATTCCTTTGTGAGAGATATTTAGATCTACTAGTAACCTGGATGGAAAGGTAGTAGAACTGGAGACTGACTTGGATTTCACATCTCTCTGCTCTTCCATCCTTCTCTAAGTTATATACTTATTCACTGTACATGGAAGGGTTGAAGGCAATCATTGTAAACCCAAGCCCAGCTCCCAATTACAATTTTGCACCAATACTAGCTTGTCTTTTAACTACTTTGAATTGAGTTTATCTAATTCCTCCCAACTCTAATATCCTATTCTGAAAATTTTATTATTTCATATATATGAATTGCATTGGGAAAGTCTGCTATCAAAGACCTCTCCAAAGAAGTACTGAAGAGCAACAGTGTCAGTCTGAAGACTAAAGTGCACCTGGTACTGGCCATGGTCTTTGCAATTACTTTCTATGCATCAGAAAGCTGGATAATGACTAGAGATGATAGAAGGAGAGCTGATGCCTTTGAGCTGTGGTGCTGAAGAAGAGTACTGAATATACCATGGACTGCTAGGAGAACAAATAAGTTCATCCTGGAGAGGGTAAAACCAGGCTGCTCCTTGGAGGCAAGAATTCTGATAATTCGTCTGACATACTTTGGATGTGTTGCAAGGTGGGATCAGTCTTTGGAGAGGGATGTCATGTTTGGGAGTGTGGAGGGACAGGGCAGGAGAGGAAGACCCTCTATGAGGTGGATTGATTCAGTGACTGGGGTAATAGGGATATGTGTGTCAGAGACAATAAGATTGGCTTAGGATAGAGCAAGGTTTAGGGCTGTTGTGCATAGGGTTGCTATGAGTTGTAGGCAACTTGATGGCACATAACAACAATGACAACCTATATGCAGAACAGATTATCC